TTTTGCATTTAAAAAAGTAATTGGCCCTTTCCAAAAATGCAGCTGCTGAAAAACGCATAGATGTGAACATGTCCCACAGGAAGCCATGTTAAATGGACTGTGGTGCGTTTCTGATGGGAAAAAAAAAAGCACTAAAAAATACATAGGTGTGAACCTAGCCTTAATGCAGAGGAAAAGCAGATCGATGTGAACGGGCCTAAAGGTTCATGTCACCTGTCTCTCAGTTCTAGTGAATCAAGCCCACCTCACTTCATTCAGACCCAATACACCCAGAATTCATTCTGCTGAACACAGACACCAAGTTGTGCAGCTTAAAAGTACAGCTCCAGGTTTTCTCCAATTCCCCCTCCCCCCCCCCCCCCCCCCCCAGTGACCTATTGACAATGAAAGAATCAGAACAAACCTTTTTTTGCAGATTTGTACCTTTTCTGCCCTGAGGAGATCCATCTTTCCCTTCCCACAGGCTTTGTCCAACTGGTTTCTGATGGGGGAAGCAGCCTTGATTATGACCAGCTGTCGGCTGCTGAGTCTGTCAGAACAGCTGAAGGCCTTGCTTCCTTACAGGTGGGAATGAGCCTAATGCAGGCCATAGATGGTTTGAAAATCGGCGATTTTTCGTCCGAAAGAATAATCGGGCGATTTTCGCACTGTTAGTGGGGCAATGGCATCGGCTGATTTTCGTGGTTCCTCCTCAATTCGTTTATCGGTTATGCTGGAAAATTCGTCAAAAACGGCCAATTTTCTAAATGATTGGTGACAACATCGGATTACAGGACGAACGATGTTTCGCCTTTTGGACGAAAAATCAGCCGATGTTCGAACCGTCTATGGCCCACATAAGGCTGGACCATACATGATACAATTTTCTTGAGAATTTTGCTTTAGATTTACCAAAAACCATATAATTATGAGGTCAAACCTAAACAACATTTTCAGTTGTATCCAATTAGGCGGGCACTTGTGCTACATAGTTGAAGGTAAATCTAAAGGACAGAAAATTGTATAGTGTATGGCCAGCCTAATGCAGGCCATACATGGGTTGAATTCCACACCAAATTTCTTTTAAAAAAATTTTTGTAAATTTTTCTTTAGAAAATTTTGTAAATTGTGCCACCAATGATTTTGAAATTCGACAACCAAGCCTTTAATTTCACCCTCATGTTGCTACAGAAATAAATTTTCATGGCCAAGAATGCTCTTTTCTTTCCAGGTCACAGCTCACGCTCATTTCTTTTTCAAGTACATTTCTCGCACAATTCTTACATCATTGATTAGAAATTTGTTCATTTTTCAAAAAATGTCCAACATGCCCAATCACTCAAATTGGACGGTCGTTTTCGCTCGAAAATCGGACCATTGATGTGGCTAATGGTGCGAAATTCAAACGGAAATTCTTAGAAAAGATTTTGGAAAGAAAATTTTTGGAATTCGACCCATGTATGTCCGGCTTAAGCACCTGTTTCCTTTCTTCCTCTGACCTTATGCACACTGGGTGTTCAGCTGCAGGCGGGAGGGCACAGGTGCACCACCCAGCCCTGCTGCCCCACAGCCTGTAAAACTCTATGAGACTTGGTTGACATATGTGCAGCTGGTGCCGCTGCAGATCTGCACAAAAATCCATGCAGCCGCACCACCTACAAAGAAGAATGCGGACCCGCGGGGTGGGTGCCATTAATTCTAATGGCACGCTGCCCGCACTGGAAATCTCAACCACACTGGGAGCCGAGGTTCCCGTGCAGGCTGCAGTTTACAAAGAAGTGCAGGGGACTTCTTCCCTGCGTGTCCCAGGGCACGGGAATCCATTCAAATGAATGGGCTCTTGTGCACGTGCAAAATGAGGCCCGCAGGAACGTACATATGTGAACCAGGGCTGAAAGGCTAACAGCTGCTCTGCGGCTGGATAATACATCCAGCAGTATGAATGTGTAGGACATAATGCATCCAGCAGTATGAAATGTGTAGGACATTATGAAGCCAGCGGTATGAATGTGTAGGACATAATGCATCCCAGCGGTATGAATGTGTGGGACATTATGCATCCAGCAGTGTGAATTTGTAGGACATTATGCATCCAGCGGTATGAATGTGTAGGACATTATGCATCCAGCGGTATGAATGTGTAGGACATTATGCATCCAGCAGTAAGAGAATGTGTAGGACATTATGCATCCAGCAGTAAGAATGTGTAGGACATTATGCATCCAGCGGTAAGAATGTGTAGGACATTATGCATCCAGCAGTAAGAATGTGTAGGACATTATGCATCCAGCAGTAAGAATGTGTAGGACATTGTGCATCCAGCAGTAAGAATGTGTAGGACATTATGCATCCAGCGGTATGAATGTGTAGGACATTTATGCATTCAGCGGTATGAATGTGTAGGACATTATGAAGCCAGCAGTATGAATGTGTAGGACATTATGAAGCCAGCAGTATGAATGTGTAGGACATTATGCATCCAGCGGTATGAATGTGTAGGACATTATGCATCCAGCAGTATGAATGTGTGGGACATTATGCATCCAGCGGTATGAATGTGTAGGACATTATACATCCAGCAGTGTGAATTTGTAGGACATTATGCATCCAGCAGTAAGAATCTGTAGGACATTATGCATCCAGCAGTAAGAATCTGTAGGACATTATGCATCCAGCAGTATGAATGTGTGGGACATTTATGCATCCAGCGGTATGAATGTGTAGGACATTATACATCCAGCAGTGTGAATTTGTAGGACATTATGCATCCAGCAGTAAGAATCTGTAGGACATTATGCATCCAGCAGTATGAATGTGTGGGACATTATGCATCCAGCGGTATGAATGTGTAGGACATTATGCATCCAGCAGTAACAATGTGTAGGACATTATGCATCCAGCAGTATGAATGTGTAGGACATTATGCATCCAGCGGTATGAATATGTAGGACATTATGCATCCAGCAGTGTGAATGTGTGGGACATTATGCATCCAGCAGTGTGAATGTGTAGGACATTATGAAGCCAGCAGTAAGAATGTGTAGGACATTATGCATCCAGCGGTATGAATGTGTAGGACATTATGCATCCAGCAGTATGAATGTGTGGGACATTATGCATCCAGCGATATGAATGTGTAGGACATTATGCATCCAGCGGTATGAATGTGTAGGACATTATACATCCAGCAGCAGTGTGAATTTGTAGGACATTATGCATCCAGCAGTAAGAATGTGTAGGACATTATGCATCCAGCGGTATGAATGTGTAGGACATTATGCATCCAGCGGTATGAATGTGTAGGACATTATGCATCCAGCAGTGTGAATTTGTAGGACATTATGAAGCCAGCGGTATGAATGTGTAGGACATTATGAAGCCAGCGGTGTGAATGTGTAGGACATAATGCAGCCAGCGGTATGAATGTGTAGGACATTATACATCCAGCAGTGTGAATGTGTAGGACATTATGCATCCAGCGGTATGAATGTGTAGGACATTATGCATCCAGCAGTATGAATGTGTGGGACATTATGCATCCAGCAGTGTGAATGTGTAGGACATTATGCATCCAGCAGTATGAATGTGTAGGACATTATGCATCCAGCAGTATGAATGTGTAGGACATTATGCATCCAGCGGTATGAATGTGTAGGACATTATGCATCGAGCAGTATGAATGTGTGGGACATTATGCATCCAGGAACAGAGGCTTCTTGTGTCCTGGGAATTCATCCCTGAGTGCATACTGCCCTAAACATTCATACCGCTCGTGCACCGTCCAGCCGCAGCAGATGTTAGATTCTGATTGGCTACTGGCAGCGAGGCTGGTTGGTGCCTATGCCCTCCACAATGTCCGCAGCTAAATACCACAGCCTCATGAACCATGGCTAATCGTCTAGTGGGCATGGAGTCTTTGTGTGATACTGTTTTTTGGTGTGGAGGCAATTCATTCATTATGAATGCACCTCAATGCAGGAAGAAACACAACTGTTCACACCACAACACACAGAGCAATCATATCTATATGTTGTGGTAGATTGGAGCATAGGTGCATTTTTAGGGCCCATTCACACACCTATTAAATTTAAAACATACTAACACATGCGTGCAGGTTAGCCATTGTCACACCTCTGCGATGGATTGACATGCGTTGTCCGTTCACGCAGGAAAAAAAAACCAAAATTGAGGAAACAGCACTAGAGAGAGTCAATATTGTTAAAAAACAAATCAGAAATTTACCTCAGAAAAAGGCGGGAAAGCCTCCTCCTACCCAGAGAGTGCACAGAAGGTAGAACTGCCCAGTGGTTATGTTTTCCACGACAACAAACATCTTCATTGGTGCCTATACTGACCAATCAGCAACCTACTTCCACTGGCCAGAGCAAAAACACAGCCTTCCACAACTCTACTTTCTCAATATGGTGGTAATATATTAACTATCAGCCTTGGCATGATGTTACCAACAAAAATATAAAATACAGCCAATTGCAAAAAAGTTATCATACATGTACAAAAATGAAATAAGCTTTTCTTTTAGAGCCCCTAAATATCTAAAACTCACTCATTAACCACAAGCCTACAGGGCACTTATACCCCCTTCCTGCCCAGGCCAATTTCCAGCTTTCAGCGCTGTTGCACTTTGAATGACAATTGTGCGGTCATGCAACACTGTACCCATATGAAATTTTTAGCATTTTTTTGTGACAGATAGAGCTTTATTTTGGTGGTATTTAATCAACTCTGGGGTTTTTTTGGGGGTTTTTTAAACCAAAAACCACTAAAAATTTTGAAAAAAAAAGTTTTTCTTAGTTTTTGTTATAAAAATTTTATAAATAAGTGATTTTTCTCCTTCACTGGTGTGCGCTAATGAGGCTCCAGTGATGAGGCACTGATAGGCTGCACTGATGGACACTGATAGGTGGTACTGATGGGCACTGATGAGGAGGCACTGGTAGGTGGCACTGATGGGCATTGACAGGCATCACTGATGGGTACTGAAAGGCAGCACTGATATATGGCACTGTTAGGTGGCACTGATAGGTGGCACTGACTGGCATTGATAGGTAGCACTGACTGGCACTGATGGGTGACACTGAAAGGCAGCTCAGATGGGCATGATATGTGGCATTGAGTGTGCACTGGTAGGCACGTATATGTGGCATTGATGTGGCACTGATGGGCACTGGCACGTGGCACTGGAGCACTGACAGCTGGCACTGATGGACACTGACAGGTGGCACTGCTGGGGCTACAAAGATCATCAGGGCACACTGATCATCAGTGCTCTGATGATCTCTGTACATGTCCCCTCCGCGGAATGCCAATTACCGGCTCTCCTCTCCTTACGAGCTGTCAGCGTGACAGCTCATGAGGGAGAGAAATGCCAATAACCAGCATTTGCCTGTTTACATGTGATCAGCTGTGATTGGACACAGCTGATCACATGACCGAGCTGACATCTTTGGCTCTTTCCGTGGATCGGTGATCCTCTGTGTCAGAGGGACACAGCGCACCGCCAATCGCCGCGCTGCGCGCTCTGCAACCCACGCATGCGCGGTTAGAATGGGAAAGACCACATATGACGTCCTCCCAGAACAAGAGAACCGCCTTGCGTCTGTCATATTACTATATGGCGGACGGGAGGTGGTTAAAGAGGAACTCCAGCCCCAGGATTTTTAGTAAGATTTTGGATAGTGAATTGAAGGGTATGGACATTGCCTACATATTTATTGTGGTCTTTATTTGTATTCAGGGAATTCTCACTGAATGGAAGCAATACAAAACAAGCGTTTACCCTTTCACCAATCTATTAATAAAATCTCGTTTATTATTGTTTGTATCCCAGTTGATGGACAATAACTGTCCAGTCCTGCTAAAGGGACCAAATACAAACATAAAGTGGAACTAGAAAAACTTTAGAAGGCTCTGTTCACACTTATGCGACTCCAAAGTGGCACAATTTCCAGTGCAATTTTGGAGTGCTATTTTAATAGGACCAATGACAACACAGTCTCCCCAGTCCATGCTCACATGTGCCAGCGGACCTGGAGGAAAGCCGCAACATACATTATGGTGCCTGTACAAGCCGCTCTGCTGCAGTAAATGTACTGTGATGGATCGGCAAGCAGTACTATGATGGGTCCTCTATAATTCTTTTTAATTAGAACGTATGCCTATACACCCGATATCCATATGTAACACTGTAGACACAATTATACATATGCTAATAGAAGCCATTTTTGTAGTGTGAAGCGAAGCAACAACATAAAACGTTTGTAGCTGTTTATGGGGGTTTTATTTTTCTATGCGTCTGAACACTGGTGCAATGTTGTCTGCGGGACTATGCACACAGGTGTGTAAAGAATAGTAAAGAAGTGATGCGTTCGGAGCCATAACCAAAAGAAAAAAAAAAAAAAAAAAAGTTTGAGTGCTCTAAGGTAAGTGTATACACATGGTATACGCAAGTGCATATGAGCGCACATGCATCCGCGCCTGTATTCACATATACACAAGGTCTTCATTGAACAATTTACTTGGGACCTTTCATTTATAAACATCAGTAAATGATGGCGTTCCTGTGCGAGAGGCCTCAGTATGAATGTTAGAAGACAGAAGTGAGGAAGGATGCAGATTTCTGTTCTTGGCTCTTTTAATGCAGACATTGTAATTAACACTTGATTATACCTTACAGGCAAAGCTCTAGCAATTTTGCTATAATTGCTATAAACATTGATATAAAAGAAATACAAACTTATATTGTGGATATATTATCTTTTGTTCAAAATCAACCACCTTAGATGGAAAACTGACATCCTATGTCTGGGAACCCGACTGTTATTGTATATTGCACAAAATGAATGGAAGAGGAACCATACAGTTCAGAATTTATAATTAGGATCCTAATTATGATAATGTGGTCCTCCTAAAAAGGAAATCCTTTGAAGTGCCAGTCACTAGGCATGCAGAGATGGAAGCCCCTATATGACGGCAGGGAAACAATATTTGCAGGGGGGACATGGTAGCAGAAGGTGGGGTCAGGGGGAACAGGCTGACACCTCCAGGAGATCCGCACAATCCAAGCCAAGTATGACCAACCAACGACCATCTGTAGATGTGAGCTCTGATAAATGGAATAATGGCAACCACTCCAATAGCAGAAATACAGAGATGTCAACCTGGGGTAACAGTCCATAGGGGGGTATCATGGCAGAAATCGGATACAACTAAAAGGGTTAGTGGATATGGCTTAGCAGGCACCACGAAAGGGGACTTTGAAATGCAGACAGTAAAAAGGAGATGTTAAGAAGACACTAGAGGTGCAGAGCATTTAGAGCCCTGGTGCCCAATCTGCAACCATTTGGCATATGATGTGCGGCACTTGGACCAAAACAGTTGGTAGTGGGAACATTGATAAAGGAAATAGCACTGATCTCTACTAGCGTCATGTAAGATGTTTCCAGTTTCATATCTCCACCTGGAAATATGCATGTCCACATTCTCTGACCCTCATTTCCTCTATAAGGTCTGCAGTCTATGACAGTCCTCTCAAGCATTACATATATTGAACATTAAGTGCATCCTTTTAGTGATGTTAGGGGCCACATTTGAGGTCCCTGTTAGCTCATAAGTCGATAACCCCTGACTTAGAAAATAAAAACAGATATCAAAAGTCAATTTCAGGATGCATGAGACAGGATAACATACATTGTCCATGCAGACTTCATGCACACTGGGTGTTTTGGCAATGCTGGCAACGTTAGCTGTGTAAAGTCACGATAAAAATGTGAGTTTTTCAGCTTTTTTTTTATATTTAGAGTTTTTGCATTAGTGTTTAGCGGTGTTTTAATGCGTTTAGCAGCGTTTTCCTGCATTTTCCACGTTTGCATTTTTAGGTGTTTTTTTTTTACCAATAACAAATTGTTTTTTTTTGCCAAAAAAATTCCAAAAAAACGCTGGTTTGCGGCGTTTTTACCACATTTTGACGTGTTTTTCAGCATTACAGCATTTTTACAGCTAAAAAACTCCTCTAGAAACCCACTAGTTCTGGGTTTTTTTTCCAGCCAATAAACGTCCCTACCGAAAAAAAAAAAACGTTTGATTACAGTCTATGTGTGCATGGACAGATAGGATAACATGCTGGGGGGTTTACTAGCTGTAGAAAAAAAAACGTCAAAAGCCAAAAACAGCAGCTGTAAAAACGTCCAGTGTGCATGAGGACTTAATAGCATATACTGAAAATGACACGAAGCATACAGTACAGTATATAAGAAGTAGTACTATACAGCATTCATACACAGCTACAAGAACAGGTACTGAGAACTACACCCAGTATCCAAAAGACGAGAAGTGCTACTGTCTAATGTCCATGCCTACACAGTAAGAACAAACACTCAAAACTGCTCCTAACATACAGGACAAGATAAGTGTTACTGTCTAATGTCCGTACCTACACAATAAGAACAAACACTCAAAAACTACTCCCAACATACAGGACAAGATAAAGTGTTACTGTCTAATGTCCGTACCTACACAATAAGACAAACACTCAAAACTACTCCCAATATACAGGACAAGATCAGTGTTACTGTCTCAAAACTACTCCCAAACATACATGATCCGTCTAATGTCCTACCACAATAAGAACAAACACTCAAAACTACTCCCAATATACAGGACAAGATCAGTGTTACTGTCTAATGTCCGTACCTACACAATAAGAACAAACACTCAAAACTACTCCCAATATACAGGACAAGATCAGTGTTACTGTCTAATGTCCATATCTACACAATAAGAACAAACACTCAAAACTACTCCCAACATACAGGACACGATAAGTGTTACTGTCCCATGTCCATGCATACTCAATAAGAATATATACTCAGAACTGCATCCAGCATGACAACATAAATGCTATTGTCTAACATCCATAGATACACAATAAGAACAGTTACTGAAAATTCCACCCAGTATACATGGCAACATAAGTGCCACTGTCCAACATACAACCATAGACAATAAGAACAGATATGGAGAAAGACACCCAGCATATAGAACAAGAGAATTGCTACCATTCAGCATCCTTACAGTATAAGGACAGATGCTTAGGGTGAATGCTCACTGGCAGTTTTAAACCAAGCCTTGGCACAGGTCACCCACTTGGTCCAGTTTGTTTGTGTAGCGAGAGTGCTCCAAACGATGTCTATGAATGTTCAAGTGTAGGCATGCCTGGGACTACTTGGAAGAGCTGAACATGGCATATTTTTGGTCTGGTACAGTTCGCTTTAGTGTGAGTGCAAACTGTGCCAGACCATAGTTGTGCCATCTCCTACTCTGTCAGCTTCAAGAGGAAGGGTGAAGCTCTGGAGAAGTCCTGGGGTCTGGAGTTCAAGTGGAAGGGTGGAGCTCTGGAAATGTCCTGGGGTGTGGCGTTTAAGAGGAAGGGTGAAGCTCTGGAAATGTCCGGGGGTACAGTGTTCAAGAGGAAGGATGAAGCTCTGGAGAAGGCCTTGAGGCAAGCATCATAGGAAGTGACAAGGGAACTTTGAATTTTATTTGGGTGATTTGAAGTCAGTGGAGGAATTGGAAGAAAGGGGTGGTGGACCATTAGCAGTTGGAAAAGTAGACAAATCTGGCAGATGCATTCCTTAGAGGCTGAAGGGGGGAATAGCCTGTATAGAGGTTGGCCAACAAGAAGGGAGTTGAAGTAGTCAGGGTGAAAGGTGACAAGTGAATGCACTAGTGGTGCAGTTGGTTAGGAAAGGGTGTATTTTGGAACGGTTATGGGGGTTAAGGAAGCAAAATATGGACAGTGATGGATGTGGGGCTGAAAAAAAAAAAAAAAAAAAAAAAAAACAGGATTACACTTAGTTCCTTTCTTGATGCCAAGGTTCTAACAGTTGTGTCAACATAACCTTGATGGGAGTCAGGGGAGGGGGCATGAAGGAAACAAAGATTATTAACTCAGTTTTTTTTTAGAAAGATTGAGTTTTTGGAAGCATTGAGACATCCATACCAAATATGTCCATTTCCAAGTGATGCACAGGGAGACTAAAGGGGAGAAGTATTACACTGTAATTGAAAAAAAGGGAGTCAAGACTGTATGGACTTTGTAGGCACATATACATCAAACAAGTTTTTTTATAAAAAAAACTTAATTCTTTTATTACAAAGGATATCAAATGTAAAAGGATTTTAATTGGCAGGCTACACAATTGTGGGAACAACTCCTTTTGCGTGGTTACAGTATATCCTGCGTGAGGCCTATAATCAAGCCCTGGGCAGAACACGAACATCCTTATTATACCAGCCTTGAACAACTAAATCACATTTTTTCTATGGTAAAATGTATTACTAAATTTTCAGTTCAGCATTCCCAATTACACTCGCTTCTTTAGCAACATACGCATTTGCTTCAAAAAGATCCTGTAACAACCAAGTACATCAAGTGTCAACCAGAGTCTTTCGAAAAAAACCCCATCCTTGGGGGATAGGATCACCAAAAGCTATTATAGACCATAAGCGACTCACAATACCCCCTT